ATGTGAACCACAGCAGCGTGAACGTGGTGCGGCGTGTCTGTTGACAGACAGGCCCGTCCAAAGCCCCGGCCGGCGGTGGCCGCGGGGACACAAGCCGGATGGGGGTCGGGGGCCCCCGGCCCACAGAATCCTGCGATCAATCCTCCCTTGGGGGACAGCCGCCCAGGAGCCGCCGCCTCTTCCCCTCACCGTTGGGGCAGGCTGCAGAGGTGGCCCATCCGGAGTCACACGGAGGGAGGGTGAGCCGCTTGCACCCTTCCGCAGCTCTTTCCAGGACTGACAGGCGCTGCCAGGCTCAAGCCCACCCTAGGCCCAGGGACTCCGGAAGTCTGTTTCCCCAGGGCTCAGGCGCTCACAGGGTTTATTGTGAGAAACAGTGCTCAGAAGTCTGCAGGTCTCCCGTGTGTGCTCAGCACCACGGTGTGGCCCGGTGACCTCTTGCTGTGGAGAATGTGGACGTCATTCTGCACATCTCACTCCCAAGCGCTCTCCCTTACACTGCCCGCTGGGCCTCCCGGAGGCACGCTGGGCCCGGGGGCAGCCGGCCATGCTGATGCGTGTAACCACTCCACAAACACAGCTCAACCAAGGAATCAACAGCAGCAGAAAGCAGCAGCGGCCCCCAAAAGGATGCTGTCAAGGATGGTATCTCCTCTTCTTAATAAGTGATACTGGAACCACTTGATAGTTGCTTAGAAATAGGTGAAGTTGAGTCCACAGTTTATCCACACCACACCAGATGCCAACATACATTTTAAATGGATCCAGAATTTAAACTTTTTTTTTTTCTTTAGTTTTCAGAGTCTCACTCTGTCTCCCAGACTGGAGTGCAGTGGCACGCTCCTGGCCACCGCAGCCTCAACCTGCTGGGCTCCAGCGATCCTTCTGCCTCAGCCTTCCAAGTAACGGGAACTACAGGCGCACACTACCACACCCAGCTAATTTTGATTTATTGTAGAGACGAGATCTTGCCAGGTTGCCCGAGCGGGTCTCAAACCCTCGGGCTCAGGCCATCCACTCGCCTCGGCCTCCCAAAGCGCTGGGATGACAGGCTGAGCCACCGAGCCCAGCCTAAACTTTTTAAAAGAAACCGTCCAATGGTGAAAACGTTCTGGAGATGGATGGTGGTGACGGCTGCATAACTTATTGCCACTTAATGGTGCACTTAAACATAGTTAAAATGGCAAATCCCCGGCTGGGCTTGGTGGCTCAGCCTGTAATCAAGAATTTATGGTGGAGGCAACCTTGGTTACGCCCAGACTAATGGTCCCTCTTTGCCCTGGGAAGGACGGTGTGACCAGCAGGGCCCGAGGATTGGGGTAGAGCAGCCTCGGCCCTGTCATTCCAGCAGTGCATAGCTGGTCTGGCAAGGGGGTGAACCCAATTGCACCAGGAGCCTGGGGCACCCTGTGAAGGCCTGACCCACACTGCCCTCTCTTCTTCCAGGGAATCTGAGGGAGGGAGCGTGATGGAGTGGACTCAGGTGGCCCTGGCCGAGGGTAGGGGCAAGGGAGGGACACTGAGGCCACCGAGATCAACGACCTCGCGGGGGGCAGGGGGGCGGCAGGGCTCAACTGCCCTGCGTTCTACCCCTCAGGATCTCTGTAAACGCTCCCCCAGGGACTCAGACACCAGAAAAGGTGAGGGAGGGGCTGGACTTTGGATAGGCTGGACTTCAGGACATCCTGCTGCCCCCCCCCCCCCCCCCCCC